GGAGGGAGGCCGAGAGAGCAGGAGGCAGAAGGGAGGAGGGGAGGAGAGAGCAGGGGGGAGGGAGGAGCGAGGAGAGAGGGGAAGGGAGGAGGGGGAGTAGCAGGAAGTGGAGGAGGATGAGGAGAGAGGAGCGAGGAGGGAGGGGGGAGGGAGGAGGGAGGAGGGAGGGAGGGAGAGAGAGAGAGGAGGGCGGCAAGGAGGGAGAAGAGGAGGAAGACGAGGCATGAGAAGATGAGGTCTCCAGGTGCGGCCGGGAGGCGATGGCGAACGCAGGCGAAAACCCGACAAGAAAAACAAATCAAGTTCTCGGGCACACCCCAGGGGGGGAGTGCAAGCACGAGCCTTGTGGATGCCATGACACTGGACATCCTAACAATCCTGCCATTGAATTAAGCATGTGTCAAAACGTTTGAAACATTTCTAAAGATGTTGAAGCAGATTTGCAATGTTTGAGACATGTTGAAAAAATGTGTTTGGGCATCTGGAAATTATTTGGCAACATGCTTCCTCTCCATTGACCGCCGTCCACAACACGAGACAAGGTCCAGAAAGCTGGGCCAGCTCGACGTGCTCGCCCGCCGCCACGAGACCGCCGAGCTTGGCACCGAGGACGAGCCCGACGCGTGGCCTGGGCATCGCCGGGCCCTAACCGAGCAGCAACGGCAGCCGGGTGCCGGGAGCCGATCCCGCCCCCAGAAAGCGATCGAGTCTGCGACGGGTCATGCTCGGAACTCCCCCTCGGCAGGGACGGGGCAGCAGCTGGGCGATCCCCTTAGAACAGGCACCGCAGCTGCCACAGGAAGTACGCGGGCCCACAGTCCACTCTGCGTGTCCGCCGCCTGGGCTAGCAGGCAGGTGAAGTGAAGGCGTCATTGGCCCGGGCGACTCTGAAGCAACGAGCACATCTGAAACCACTGGCAGGTTGCACGAAGCAGGAGGAAGGAGGACGAGGAGGAGATTGAAGAGGAGGAGCAGCAAGCGGAGGGAGGGAGGGAGGAGGAAGGAAGGAGGACGGGATGGAGGAGGAGGAGGAGGAGGAGGAGGAGGAGGAGAAGGACGAAGCGAAGACACTCTGAAACTGCTGGCGATCTCGCCCATCAAAGGAGGGAGGAGGAGGGAGGAGGAGGGAGAAGGAGGGAGAAGGAGGGAGGGAGGAGGCCAGAGGAGGGAGGGGCTGCGTTTAGCCGGCAAGGGGGGCGATCCCCATCCAAGCGACCTCACAAACAGTCCGAAATGTTGCGAGCTTCGGCAAGGATCTGCACCCACCGTTGAACATTCCGCTCGTTGGAAAGTCGAGCGCAAGGGAGGAGAGGAGAGGCGGGAGGGGGGACGAGGAAAGAGAGAGGATTGAGGAGCAGTGCAAGAGAGGAACCGGGGAGGAGGGGGCGAGGAAGAGCGGGAGGAAAGAGGTGGAAGGGAGAGGGAAGGAGGGAGGAGGAAACGGGGAAAAGAGGGAGGGAGGTAGGGAGAAGGAAGAGCAGGAGGAGAACGAAGGTGGGGGGGGGATGCGGCGGCGGGGGCGCGCCCGCGCCCAGCGGAGTTCATCACGGGCCTGCCGTCAGCCTGGCGCGCGCCCGAGCGCGCACCGGCAACGGGCCGCCCGAGACTCGACTCTCCAGGGGTTGTGATGACGATGACGATGACGATGATGATGACGATGACGATGACGATGACGATGACGATGATGATGATGATGATGATGATGATGATGATGATGATGATGATGATGATGATGATGATGATGCTGATGATGATGATGATGATGATGATGATGATGACGATGACGATGATAATGATGATGGTGGTGTTGCTGCTGCTGATAATGCTGACGTTGGTGCTGATAGTAATGAGATTATGATGATGAGAATGGTGATGCTGATGATGATAATAATAATAATAATGATGATGATGATGATGGTGATGGTGATGGTGATGGTGATCGTGATAGTGAAGATGCAGATTAACATGAAGATGAAAATGAATATGAAGACGACTATGATGACGATGAAGACAAAGGTGGATATGACAATGGAGATGCACATGAATATGAAGATGGAGATGGAGATAAAGATGAGGATTCAGACGGAGGTTTGAAGAAGAATATGAAGATGATGGTGATGCTGATGATGAATATGATGGTGACGATGATGACGACACTGATTATGATGATGGTGGTCATGATGATGATAATGATGATGTTGATGGGGGTGGTGCTGATAATGCTGGCGTTGATGCTGAAACTAATGAGGTGATGATAATGATAATGGTGATGGTGATGATGATGGTGAAGATGCAGATGAAGATGCAGATGAAACTTAAGATGAAGATGAAGATGATGATGATGATGACGATGAAGACGAAGGTGGCTACGACAAAAAATATTCAGATTAATATGAAGATGGAGATAAAGATGAGGATTGAGATGGGGTTTTGAAGATGGGCATGAAGATGGTGGTGAAGATGATGACGTGATGATGGTGAAGATGATGACGATGATGATACTGATTATGATGGTGTTGATGATGATGATGATGATGATGCTGGTAGTGGTCATGATGATGATGGTGACGAAGATGGCGACGACGATGATGAGATCGCATCTGGTATATGGACGTACCTACGACAATCGAGTTCGTCGTCCCCAGGGAACACCTACCCGTGCCCGTCGTACAGACAAGATGCAACTAGCGTCGAGGTATACCGACACAGGCGATGAGAGCAGAAAGTCTTCGCCGCGTGCGAGGAGCAATGGCACAAGAGACCAGGCATCGCTCGGCTCGACTTCGACTGTTGGGCGATCTGCGCGCAGAGAGTGACCTGCACGCCTGGCTCCTGCAAGTCCGGTGCCATGTTTGACGCTCGGCTGTGCCGCGGAGCAGATGTGCGAACGCCGCCGCACACTCCGCACTGCAGCTGCGATGAGCGATGGGATGCCAGCTGCAACAAAACTCGGCGGCGAGCAAGGGGGGGAAACGAGAAAGAGAAGGCCTCCTCAGACGGCGGCGGGACTTCTCAGAGGCCCTCGCGCCTGCTGAGACGATTTCCTGTCTTCGGGGAAGGCTCAGAAAACTTCTCGGGAAAGGTCGGGGCACGTCCAAACCTTCTGAGAACGCCTTCTCCTTCTCACTTTTCCACCCCTCGCTCGCCGCCGAAAAATCTGACCATCCCGGCAGTCCGTGCGGCATTGCCCGCCGTGCACGGGCCGCCCCCTCGCGCATATAGCCCCAAGGGCCGGTGTCGGGGAACATTGAAAAAACACGCGTGTAACCCGTGCCCCTCCCAACCCGAAATTCGGGTCTTCGGATTAGGTGGGGATGGCCTGGTAGGTAGCCACCTCCTTTGCTCAGCCTCTCCTGCGTGCCACCGTCGACTTGGTTGCCTGCATATACATTGTTTTGCCGATCGGAGTGGGCCCTCGCATCCCCCCTCCCCCCCCTGGAGTAGATCTTGGCTGTTTTTTGGCGCTTGTTTCAAGTAGGTGGAGCCTCCCCCGTAGGACGCACTGCTGAAAACAGTCGCACTGAGCAGAGGTCTGGAGCAAGACTCCCCCCCCTCCTCCCCCCTTCCGCCCAATGTCGACACGCCGAAAAACAAAAAGCTCCCCAGAGGCACGCGTGGTCCTCGTGCCCTGGCGCCCGAGGAGGGGCGAAGGCAGACGGCTGGCGTCCCCTGCGCTCTGCCGTGCTCTTCTGCGCCATGCCGTGCCGTGCTCTGCCATGCACCGCGCATCCTCTCGCGATCCTTGCCCTGCTCGACAGCCGACTGTGCGAATCGCGCGGAGATCTACGCCACGGTAGAGGATGGCAGGGCGGGGCAGGACGTCAGATGTGGCGCGAGCGCACCCGGCTTGCCTTGTCCTCCTCCGCCTCCCCCCTCCTCGCCCTCCTCGCGCTCCTCGCCTGCCTCGCCCTCGTCCCTCCTCCCAACGCGCCCTCCCCAAGCGCCCCGTCCCCCCTCCTCGAGGGGCAACGACAGGGGGGGGGATGGGCATAGGGGGGGGATGCATCGACCTGCATCGATGCATCCGCCCCTATGCCTATCCCCCCCTATCCTTGCCCCTGCCTCCACCCTCCTCCTCCGGGGGGCGGCCGGGCACCCCCCGGAGAAGGAGGAGGAGGAGGAGGAGGAGGAGGATAGAAGAGAAGGAGGGAGGACGACAAGAGGAGGAGGAGGAGGAGGAGGAGGAGGAGGAGGAGGAGGAGGAGGAGGAGGAGGAGGTGCGCACCACCTGGCGCGACGGGGGATCCGAGGCGCGGGCAGCTAGGAGACGGAGCGCCCTCCAGGGGGAGGGACTTACCAGGGCCTGGAAGAAACGCGAGGCCCTGGGCAGAACGGGGGGGGCATCATTTTTTTTGCAGCACCTACCTCTGCCAGGCGGCAGAGGCGTCACGACAGCCCCCCCCCATAAATAGGGTCAAGTGGCCCCCCCGTACGCGGGTGGAGGCCACGGGACGCATACTTGATCTTGGTCGCCTGGGAACTCCGAGTCGACGGGTGCAGGGAACGGCCAAGACAGCGCTTCTCGATCCCACGCAACAAGCCTCCAGGGAGGATAACGTGGACCGAGCACAACGAGCAGAAGGCCACGCGGCCGACCTGCTCCATCTGATGGCCCAGGGACACAAACCGAGCAGCGAGCGTTTCGGTCGGCGGCGTCTGGGCCTGGCAAGGAGAGGACCCCAGGACCCTCGCAGCAGCCTCGATCGCCGCAAGCGCCGCATCCGAAGAGAAAGCCACCCCCTCCTCTTCACGCGTGACGAACACCGCCTGGGCCTGCCACGCCTGGAACGCGCTGGGCCCACAGTGGCGGCGGCTGCCAGAGCGGAGTTGGGCGAGGGAGGAGGGGGTCTTGGCATGCAAATTGCAACGCTTGCAACGCCACTCCCCCAGAAACGGGAAGTGGTACAGATCATGCTCGATCAGCGCGAGGCCGCACTCACCTTCACGCTCTCGACGCCTCGGGGCAGGGGGCGAGGCCGAGAGCTCCTGGGCACACGCACCGATGCTCTGAGCAAATCTGGACAGAAAATCGAAAGTCAGACGCGTCTGAAAGATCACGGAACTCTGGACCTTCTCAAGCGTCTGGGCCGCAGCGTGGGCGTCTGCTCCGATACGCGCGAAAAAATCGGCCCGGGCGTTCCCCAAAAAAATGTGCACCTCGACCTCGGATCCCGACGCGACCACATCGTCCCAAACACGGTGAGCTGGGGCCCACTCGGAAGACGGCCTGGGACCAGGGCAACCATAAAGCTGAAAAATCTGCCTCCAGACAGCCGCGTGGCGCCCACCACTGGCCGCCAGGCCAGGGTCCCAAGACTGCCCCTGAAGGACCGCACTCGAATGGTCTGACACCACATGCACATTCAGGGGACCGACTCGAAGCGCCTGGGGAACAGCAAACCGCTCAGCCCGAGGCACAGTTTGGGTGCCGCCAGGCAACGCACCGAAACGAGCCCGAATCGGGGTCCCACGAGGGCCCAGCTCGACCACGGCCCATCCACACCGTCTGAGTTCGGGGCTGCTGCTGCTGCTCAGCCCCGACCCGTCAGTGTAGACGCGCCGCCCCCATGGCGCTTCGGCCTCGCCCCACGTGCACACAGGGAGCTTGCCAGGGACAGGGTCGAGAGCGACGGGGTCGAGCGGGAGGCCACACACAGCCTCAAGCGAGTCCCAGACCTGCAAGCCCACCTCGAAACGACCCGTGTCCCGGAGCTCAGACCTGCACAAAAGAACATCATCGGGAATGCAATTGCCCTGGGACGCTGGGTAGTTCAACACGGCGTCACAGTCATAAAGCTGGTGGCCGAGATAGCCTACAACACTCATGCCGCACAGCGTACACGATTTACTGTCGCTCAGGCCAGCATCATATTTTCTCTCTTGCGACCACAAGGCGTTGCCGATCAGACAGCGGAGAGCGGCACGACGGGCACTGTCGCGAATCTTATGGACGGCAACACGCACACCTCGAAGCCACAAGCGCTCGGAACCAGCCTGGGGGAGGTGGGACAAATCTTCTTCGCTTGCCACCTCTGGATCCCCGACCGAAGCTGTACCTTCACATCGAGCGGAGCGGTTCGCAACAGGTCAATCGAAAAACCTTGGTCGTCCACCAGCACGTGCGCAGCAGACATAGACCAGCCTACACGGTGCAAGCTGAGCAGCACTGCGCTAGTTGGGCCACGACATGACTTCCACGTCGGCCGCTCGAGGATCCGTGCCTTGACGGCCATCCACGCTTTTTGGAGTCGGCCTAGCGAGAACCTCGAGTCCCAGATTACAGCTGCGCAGCGTTGGACCAGCGGCACCGTCGCATCGAATATGGGGTCATAAAAAAGGGGTCAGGCTGTGTCGCAAGCCAAGCCGTCAAGGACCCAGATCGCTTCGCGACCACTAAGGTTCCCGCCATGGTGCGGAGGGTCCCAAGGGTCGGACCCGTGAGCCCAGAAACCCCAGCCCCATGCGACCCAGCAAGCAGAAGCCCAGTGCGCCATAAAAGACTCACCTTGCTGGGCGCAGCTCGACGGAGGGCCGCCAACTTGTCCCGACGCCGAAGCAATTTCGTGAGACTGAGCTTTTCTTGGGCCCGCACAGGCCGTCCAGAAAAGAAAAAAAAAACTCATGGCCAAGGTTACGCAGATGGGCATGGCTGCGGAGTTTGACCAGACGGGCCGACGACGACAGGTTCGACGACACTTTCACCGCCGTAGCCACGTACCCACTCTTGGCCGCTTGGAGGATGAAACCAAGCTGGAAGACCTGGCTGCCATACCATCTTACCGCGGCAAATAAGATCTCACTAAACTTAAACAGACTGCCAACCCACTGGAAACTGGAATCATCCATGAGGACTCTGGGCCTGACCGTGGGGTAAAGGGTCCTCATCTTAACAATCACACGGTGGAGAAGCACGTGCATCATAGAATTGGCGTAGCTACATCCTGCAAGGATGCCTTGGTTGGTCACCACCTGCCGCGACACGGAACCGAACGCCTGGATCACCCTCGGGCACCGATAGGATGCAAGGACCATCCACATCATCCGAAGCGGGTATCCAACCTTCCTGGCTTCGGCAAACAGTCGCTCTACAATAACACATTCGTAGCATTTAAACATGTCCAAGAAAACGTTCACATAATACTCCCCCACCGCCGTGGCCGCCTCCGCCTCCAGATTGTGGCCAAAGGCAGCGTCAGACGCACTAGCCCCTGGACCATGGCCCCAGAAAGAAGGGTCGCGATTCGCCTTCTCCCAGGCATGGGAGACAGGTTTTCTCACCCGCCCCCAAAGGCGGAGCAGAGAGTTCAAAAGCGCAATCAACCGATACACTCCAGAGGGCTTGGGCAAGCGGACTAAACGGGTTTGGATCCGAGACTCTGGCCAAGCAAGGAGCCTCTCGCAGGCCTTGAACATGTCAGCCACCGATTGCAAGCACTGATCGGAGACTGCGAGCAAGGACCTAGGGTTCAAGCCGAGCTGGCCCAGAGCTGTTTTGCAAGGAAACGAAGCGCAAGCCCTACGGCGACTGAGATATCAGGCAAAGCCTCCCAGTCATGGTGATCTCTAGGCAAGCCCACTCGATCGCAACTGTGCATCTTCCAGATCTCCTCCCACTCCGCGAGGCAGTCGTCTGCCTGCTGGAACCGCTGTGGACGAGACGTCTGCGCGATCAGCTCCTGCACCTCACGCACACGGGAGAACTTGTGCGCAGCTCCTGCACCCTTGGCAAAAGCCTGCTTGACCCACTTCTTCCAGTCAGCCCGTGAAGCATCAGCAAACTCATGCAGCTTGACCTCGATCTCATCAAAGAAACCCTGGACTACGTCGTCGAACACTGCACTGCTGAAGCTGGCTGGTACGTCCACAAAGAACTCCCTGATGGTCTCCGTAGACTCCTCCGGCACCCAAGACGACTTACGTATGCGGTTCAGAAACCCCTGAAGGAAATAGAACTGCTTGGATATCTGCTCCAATCTTTCATCCGTGGGGTCGGTGGCATACCCGACGGCAAGCTGAGACAACTTGGTACGGACCGAGCGCAGGTGACGCAGCCATCGGCCCAGAGTTCGAGGAGGATAGAAGAGAAGGAGGAGGAGAACGACAAGAGGAGGAGGAGGAGGAGGAGGAGGAGGAGGAGAAGGAGGAGGAGGAGGGGGAGGAGGAGGAGGAGGAGGAGGAGAAGGGAGGAGGAGGAGGAGGAGGAGGAGGAGGAGTGTAGGAGGAGGAGGAGGACGAGAGGAGAGGAAGGAGGAAGGAGGAGGAGGGGGAGGAGAGGAGGAAGGAGGAGGAGGAGGGGAGGAGAGGAGAGGAGGAGAGGAGGAGGAGGGAGGGAGGAGGAGGAGGAGGAGGAGGAGGAGGAGGAGGAGGAGGAGCTAGGAGGAGCGGCCGGGGCGCTCTGGGCGCTCCAGCTGAAGCCCTGGCCCTGGCCGTCGGGGCCTCGGCGGGCCCCGAGGTACGGGGGGGCGGCGCGGCGGGGGGCGGCGCTGGCGCGGAGGGGGGAGGGAGGAGGGAGGACGACGGCGAGGGAGCAGGAGGAGGAAGGGGAGGAGGAGGGCGACGACGAGAAGGAGGACGACTGAGGAGGAGGGCGAGGAGGGCGATGGCGAGGAGGACGACGGCGAGGAGGACGGGGAGGAGGAGAGCGACGAGGAGGAAGATGGGGGGAGTGGGGAGGAGGGAGGAGGAGGGGAGGAGGGGGGAGAAGGAAGGGGGAGGGCGGAGACGACCAGTCAGCAGGGCGGAGGAAGGAGGAGGGAGGACGATGACGAGGACGATGAGGAGGAGGGACGACGGCGATGACGACGGCGACTCCTAGCAAGGCGCACAATGCAAGGTAGACTCCGATAGCGACAATTAGATGCCGGCCGGGTCCAACTGCAAGTCAACACACTCCGGGGATCAGTCAGCATCGACTCGGGAAATCGACTGGAGCGGGCGTCGGATCCCGCTGCATCGGCAGGGAGTCGCAATCGAGTCGGATCGGCTGCGCAAAAGATGCACAACAGTTAAGTCGGGCCTGTCCCCCTACAGGGGGATTTTCGACGAAAAATAAAAAGTACCCCAAAAATACCCCAAGTGTTCATAAATACTCAAAAGATAGTCCCCAGACTGTTTTTGAATTATTTGTGGACTATCTTTGGGGTAGTTTTTATTTCTCGTCCAAAATCCCCCTGTAGGGGGACAAATCCGACTTGACACAGCAGCGCACCTGCAGCCACCGGGCCGCCTCGGGTCGTCGGCATATAGGAATCCGAACGGATCGGGCCGCCCAGAGTCCATCGAAGCGGATCGGTCGAGTCGAGAAATGGGCCCTGCACGAGCGGCCGAGAAGGCGAAGCACAAAGGAGAAGAGGCACGCGTATCGCAGAGAGCGTCGCTCGACTCGGCGTGGTACGTCGGAGCCTCGTCGCGGATCCACGCAATGGCACCAGTGATCTCAGCGGAGCGCGCCTGCAAATGGCTGCACCGCAACGCAAGCAGAATGCTCAGGGCACATCCTCTTGCCGTTCCGGACAGGGTGCTTACGGACTTGCGCAGGCCCTGCTAAAGACTCTCCCCTCACTCGTCATGAGCATCCTCCTCCTCGTCATCACCACCCTCCTCCTCCTCCTGTTCCTGCTCCTCCTGCTCCTCCTGCTCCTGCTCCTCCTCCTCCTCCTCCTCCTCCTCCTCCTCCTCCTCCTCCACCTCCTCCTCCTCACCTCCTCCACCTCCTCCTCCCCCTCCTCCTCTTCCTCCCCCTCCGCCTCTTCCTCCTGCTCCTCACGCGCCTCCTCGGAGAGAGGCCCTTCGGAGACCGGCCAAGCGAGGGCCAGCGAGGGCAACCAGGCGAAGCGTGCGGCGAACATCAGGAGCGATGGAAGGAGGGCAATCACGACAACGAGGGCGACGACTCAAATCTCGGGGCGTCCGAGAGGGGGGCGTCCAAGAGGGCGCTCGCGAATCGCGGCCCGAGGCGCGCCCGCGGACGAGGGGGAAACCCAGCCATGATGTACACACACGCACACACACAGACACACACATACACACACACACACACACACACAGACACAACACACACGCACACGCACACACACACACACACCCACACGCACACGCACACACAGTCCTCACCCCCCCCCTTCGATGCCCCTATGACAACGCAGAAGACGCAACACCACGAC